ATGCTTCCTGATCTTGAGTCATATGCTGTTGATCCTGATCCTGAATTGTACCCTGGTCCTTAATAACCACTTACCTGGATTGTCTTGAGTTCTGTGTGAGCACTGCAACAAATCCCTGAGCCCAGGAGAGAAGTAGAGCATGTCTGGGGATGGATAGCCAGTTTCAGAATTGGTAAAAAGTTCGACAGTGGAGCTATGTCCATTTCAGATTAGAAAAGTTGGTGGAAATCCTCAATTTTTTCATCTTTGGCTTTTGTAGTTGGTGCGTATACTTGAATGATGGTTTTATTAACAGAGCTCCTTTGATGCATATGGACCCTGTTACAGAATCCCACTTCAGGACACATCAGGAAATGCTCTTTTTGACAATGACTACCACACTGTTTGTCATTTCTGGTAAAGTGGATCATATGATCGATTCAAATAGCCCATACAACTCCATCTCAGCTCATTAATGACTCTTTATCCATTCCATTCCATTTCATTTTTTAAGAAACTTCCAATTGTCTAACATTCATACTAAGTATATACTATGTTCCAATTATTCATGGAACATAATGCTTCTATTTCTCATCATTTTTTTATGAAATTGTATTATTTCTCCTCATTTTGTGTCTTGTCATGTCAGCAAATGAAAGTCCTTAATTGATTTAATGGTGTAGATTTCATCTCAGTATCAAGAAAATAAAGACCACAGGACCAACAGACAGCATCATGATGGATAGAGAGGAGATTGAAACTGTCAACAGTTTCAACTTGCTTGGATCTACAACTAACATCCTTGCCACCAGCAGTCAGGCAATAAGGAGACATATCCCACTGGGAGAACCTGCACTTATGGACACTCCAAATTACTGAGGAGTGATGAGATCAGTTTAAGGACTAAGGTGCATCTGATCTAGGCCATACTCTTTATGACTACTTGCTATGCATCTGAGAGCTGGACAATGAATAAGGATGACAGAAGAAGCATTGATGCTTTTGAGCTGTGGTGTTGGAGAAGAGCACTGAACATCCCATGGACGGCCAAGAGAAGGAGCAAATATGTCTTGGAAAGGGTGTAGCCAGAGTGCTCTTTGGAGGCAAGAATGATGATGCTTTGCTTCACATACTTTGGACATGTTGCTAGGAGGGTCTCTTACTTGGAGAAGGACATAATACTACAAGGGTAGAGAGTCGGTGAAAGAGAGGAAGACACTCAACCAGGTGGATTGACACACTGACAAGTGCAACGGGCCCTTGTATGTCAGGAAGTGTGAGGATGATGCACAATAGAACAGAGTTCAGGTCTTTTATTCACAGGGTCACTATGAGTAGTGCTTGACTCGATGGCACCTAATAAAACAATGAGTGAAAGCTTTACTTCGTCCACAGCATTGAGATGTACTCTATTATGAGAAAGTAGGTCTTTCTCAGTTACATCTTTTTTTTTTCTCAGTTACATCTTGAATGTTTTCCAAGCTAGGGGCTCATTCTCTAGCCCTCAATTAAAGAGGGCTTTACTATTCATGGAGTTTTCGAAAACCTGTTATTTCCAAAGTGAAAGTCAAGTCCTTTCTTAGTCTCTTAGCTCCACTGGATCTTGTCCACCACGGACACTTTAAATACCAGTGGCAAAGCTTCCAACATCACAACACACACATCACTACAGTATGGGCATGATGCCCCTCTCCAAGGACAGGTCCCTCCATGCAACATGTGCAAAGTAGGTAAGACAGAGCTT